GAATGTTATTTGGAGGAGATGACATTTACTGAGATTCAATGAAAGCAAAAATTTACCCAATAGCATTTTTTTAAAAAAAGGATCCCCCTTATAACACTTTTGACATCCTGTATTCATAAGGGGTGTGTGTGCGTGTGTGTCCATAACTATGTTCACAAAAGATTTTTTTCCCCCAAAAGTTCACTGTTGGAGCGGGGGCGGGGTGAAGTTAACTTAAAAAAAGCACACATTACAATAGCTCTTTTTCACCCCCCAAACAAACCAGAGAACAATAAACAAATACAAAAGGAAAGGGAACAACTCATCAATAACAAAGGCCTGCATTTTAAAGCCTTTTCGCTTACTGGCTCTCACATCTCATTCCAAGCAAAGCAAGAGTCCTGCAGAGAAAATATCCAGAAGAGAGGGAAATATTAAAATAGGAATAAGCAGAATGATTGGTAGGGGGTTGAAGAGAAGGAAGCTTGTGCTACACAACACAACAGTTAGGAGACACTTTCAGTGTCAGTTCTGTGCTTTCTCAGACCTAGCCTCTGGTACAGGTTGTTGGCTCATTATGGGAACTGAAACTATTTTACATTTAGTGTTGCAAACTTGAGTTACTTTCAGAAGAGCATAGAGCTTTGAAGTGCTATAGTTTAAAGAAAAGTCTAAAAATACACCAAAAGGAAACATATATTTCGCAATATGAAACCAGGTAGCATATAATATCCGATGTTGATCTAGAGATCTAACACAATATGTGTTTCTTTCTAAGGAGGTTATTTTATATAATCATTTTCAAGCTATGTCTGAAAAAGACATTTCCTTTAGATTTTGAAACTGTACATTTTGATGTAATTACACTCTCCCAGGTATAATTTTATACTATAATTCATCTTTTGATGAATAGACTCTGCAAAGAATTGATATTTGAATGTATTTTGGAAGTTTTTCTTTGTTTTATCTTGCCATATAACTTAGATTTTAACAAGAGCAAAAAAAGCTATTGGCATTATAATTTCAGCAGAGAATCAGATCCTTTAAATACCATAAGCTATTAATACATCTTGATTAGAAAACACAGTGTGCTATGCAGAAACAAGTGGAATATATCATTTGCCCTATTGTGGAACATAGCAATTCTTCTTATAACTTTTGCTATCAAGTCCCATTAAGGTCCCTTTCTGTTTTCTTGTGTTTGAAAAGAGAGATTCTATGGGGTAGTTATTTGGGTATTACAATTGGAACAAAATATCCCTTTTTTCTTCCTAGTAAATTGTAAACTGCAATTTATAAAACTGTGATTCAAGATGCTTTAAGTTTTAAAAATTGGATTAAAAAAAGGCATCAGCTAAAGCTAAATTTTTAGAACCACATTAACAGCTCAGATCCCTTGTGATCTTCACTATGTATTTTATTAATTCGTGGTTCTCATTCGGATGCCTGCATGCATCCCAACAGCTTCCTAAGTCTTCATTATAGGAAATCCAAGTACACTGCTTTTATCAAATCTAGCCCTTTTTGTGTTTGTGAGGGTGTATGGGGGGAATATTTTAAACTAATGAAGCTGCTGCCTGGAGGGAAGGTTATGGTGGTGGGAGGGCTCAAAGTAATGTGCATGTATTCTCCTTAGATGTTTACTTCTCTGTGAATCCATGAATAATATAAATAGTGCATATAGTGTAAATTAAAATATAGGCTTGAGCAATTATGATCTGTCTCTCTGGGTGAAAGTAATCCCAGTCATACACAAGACAACACAAAACAGTTTTTAACTGAGGCTTGTGAAGTGGCATCACTAAACATTATTACAGCATGGAATAATTACATTGAAGTTTATGTCTGGTGATGTCCTTGCTGATTTCTTGCTGATTTCTACATGGGTGCCCTGGTTAGTATGTGCGCGTGTTATAGTGTGTATTGGAAACTGACCTCTTTCTTGTTTAGCTTAGCTTTAGTTATAAAGGCATTGCAGAGTAATTTTTTTTTCAAAAGTGTATGCATCCTGTTTTTTTCTAGAATGACTTTTTCTGAAACTGACTGTATACAGAGTGCGTAACAGCACAATAAGATAAAGCTAATACTTTATTTATTTGTTCTATATCCCATCTTTATTTTGGACAACTCAAGGCAGTGTACCTAATGCACTCTCCCCCTATTAGAAAGGTGTATTGAAACCTCACAAAAAACCCAATCAGAATTATATAAGAGCATGAAATCATTGCCACTTTGATCTTGTATTTGGTATGTTCTGGATGGACAGAGTGCTCTTCATGTAACCAAGAAATAAAATGTAAACTATTAGGTTGAGAAGCAGCAGCTCCTTAGTCTGTCTCCAGTTATATTATTACTTTGTTGATAAATCAGAGGTTTTTAAACAGCATTCTTTACAATCAGGAGCTCTAAACTGGGAAATCTGGAAATGCTGAACACTTTCCCTCGAACATGTCCATCATTCCGTTATAATAGATATAATAGATCATTGGACAGCTTCTAAGGCATGCTTGCTAGACTTCACACCAGCACCACATGCAAAGTACTTTTTCAAGGTGAAATGGGGTACTTATGAGGGTATGCCTAATTATTTCTAAAAGGTCAGTTTGAGAATGGGTCCTGAGAATCAATGGTAAAACATATATTCATTTGTTTGTTTGTTTGACTTATGTAGCCCTGGTTATAAATTGTTCTCCAATGGGCAGGGATCCTACCGCCGATGGATCAGTGTAGCAAACTCCTTGAGATGTTTGAAACTGATGGTTGTCAAAGCTAGAATATTTAATCTTATTTGCATTTTGGAGCTATAAAGTGCTTGAGGCTTTAATAGTAAAGTTCAGTTGAAAGAATCAGAAAACCTAGATATTGTGGCTGGCTGATCTCAGTGCAAATTGGATTATTATCTGCCATTCTAACACCCACATTTTTTTATCAACACTGTTGAGTAAATTAGTGAAAGATCCGCATTTGTTCTTCTTTTGTCCGCTGATGGCCAAAGATGAAGTTTTTCACGGAATCCTGCTGCCATCTGCTGGATTCCTAAAAGCAATGTCCAGAACAAGTTTTAAAAGCAGTTGCCATACAAAAGGATTAAAGGAAAAGAATCCAGTGGGAAAATCAGATTATTGGAATTTTGGTGACATACTATGTAAAAATGTATTTGTTAATAGTAAAAGTGGAGAATAACTTTTTCCCCCTTAAAAAATTGTTGGTCATTTTGATTACATAAACATAAAGGATTTGCACAGAAACAAAACCACTCGGAAAGCACAGAAATTATATATGAGTTTAAAAAACATTTGTGTATTTAGCATAGCTTCGACTTCTGACTATTTTGATAGTCTATTTAAATTGAACTTGGATTTTCAGAATCCTATGAGCTTCATCTAAGAGGCTGCAAAATGGAGGCATACTTTTAAAGGGAAAAAATTCAGACTTAAAATTCAGACTTCTTGTTTCATGTTTTTAAATGAAATTGGAGGTATATTTTGACTTTTGTTCATTTATAGTGGTATACCTCTTGGACAAGGTAATCCATTTTGTTACATTTAGATTGCTAGTTTTTGGAAGCATGACTGGCAGAAGATGGAGAGCAAAAAAGTGCAGCATATAATACATAATTGGTATTAAAATAACAATCATTTAAGTTAAACTTTGTAGTGTAGAAAATAAAATTATAAAATTTTTCCAACAGTTGAACATTTGCAGACAATATTTATTTTGTTAAACTCTATGTCAATTAAATATATGACAAATATTGGATTATATTTAATAAAGTCTATAATACAAACACATTTTAAAATATTAGTATACTTTTATTAAATGTGCAAGTTATATTTTGTATTTTATGGATAACCCAGCAGTATTTTAACTGATTTATCAAATTTGGCCAAGTATACTGCACATTGTCTGCTTCCAATATCTTTTAAAAATGCAACATTTTTTTTTTCATTTTCCAAGTGTCATACCAAGATTTAACTATCAACAAATACTTGTTCAAGATTTTAGATACTATGTTCTTTTTAAAAAAATTCAATACTGCTTTGATATAATTTGCTTTTGTAACAGCTCTCTCTCATCTCTTCTGCTTTTCCCAAGTACGAACTGCGTGTATTGACCAAACTTGCTGCAGAACTGAGCAAATACATGCCAGAAAAAGTTATAGAGGATACCACAAGTATCATAAGATCACCAATGCCTGGAGCAGTAGTGGCAGTTTCCATTAAGCCTGGTGACATGGTAAGATCTTCCCTTTTCTTAAATTAAGAATATTCTTCATTGAAGTATTACAGATTTTTTCCCCCATGTTCTTAAAAATATACATTTGAGAACATAAAAAAATATGTATACAGATGGAAGTCTTCAATAGGTATGTTTAACAAGAAGCACTACACTAACTGTATATATTTACTGGTGAGCCTTAATTTACTCTTATGTCGTATCTAAAATTCTCCATTTTGGAGATTCTTGACAATACAGCTCAGTTTTCATTTAGAGTGCAAAGTTGTTATACAATTATGAGACATAATAAGGATGATGATGATGATGATGATGATGATGATGATGATGATGATATCTTTAATGGAATTATAGAATTGGAAGAAACTGTGAAATTGATTTGATTGTATTTTATTTCATCAAGAAAGAATTATTTTCTTTGTAAACTAGGAGAGGTAACTTTTTCTGATCAGATTACACTTTTTAACATACATATTTCAACCTTCAAGATCAATAGGAGCCTCTCTGGTGATAATTGAGAAAGTGAGCTTTACTATTTTGGAGATGTTAGAAGTCCAAAACCAATATATTAAATTTAATTCTGCAGTATTGTATTGTAGGAGGAGAGATGGAAAATTGTAGCTATTTATTGCTGAATGTCAGAATGGTGATCTTGGGGTGTTTTAAAATAAGAACTGTATGTAGAGTATAAGTTGCTTAGTCCTTCTGGAAGCAGTAGCTTGGTCCTACAGTCCATTTATCCCTGGCAGAAGACTGGAATAGAGTATCGCAACATGTTTTCAGTCAGAGCTTAGAAAAATCTTGTTGAGCAAGACCATCGTTAAAGTAAAATGGTTGGGATGTTATATACTGGTAGCAATAAAAAAGATTACCATCTAAAGTCCTGTAAAAACTGGGAAAAGTATTGAGAATTTACATTTTATATATTCATTAGAACTAGTAAAAAATTCTACACACAAGTTGTACATCCCTGTGTTTTACTGACAAGTATATAAGAACACTCCCATGCCTACCATATCACATATTACATGGAATCTCTGGAAGAGGCCACATACTTATATTAACAAATACGTATAGCTTTTAAGTTGCTAATTGCTTCTTTATATTCTGAAAATAAATCCAAGCCATCTGATTTTTTAAAATTATTGGATTATCATATTATGTTAGCGTTAGAAAAACCAAATTATTTCAGTTTTTATAAAAATACATAAGAACCTAAATAGACTTAAGGTACACTGATTGCAGTTGGTCCCCATTAATTAATTAATTAATTAACTAACTTGATGAAGCATACAAAGTGTTCTTAGTTCCTAACCTCCACAATGAGAGAACTTGGACAAGCTCAAATACTTGCTCTAGAAGAAGTTTTTTTAAAAAAAGGAGTGGCCAGGAAAGGGATGGGAGGAGATAAATATTTCCCTGTCTCTTTAGTCTGTCACTGACAGAGTTTTCGGCTTGCTGCTCTTTACATAATGGCCATGTCAATACATAAGCTAGACTTCTTGCTGTGATCGAGTTTGCTACGAAAGGCACTTATTTTTCCGCTTAACTCCTCCCATTGTGTGACTTATTAAATAAACTAGGAGAGGAAATTTGAACTTGTAATCTTGTTCTGTTCTTCCCAAAGTATACCTGGCTTAAAATTTTAGCTTGTTTTGGAACAATAAACTAGAATCTTGAATTTGGCATCACCGTAAGCTAGCCTTCTTCAACTTTCTAAATCCCTTGGGACTACTAGAAGAGTTCCCCAGCCTGGCAACTCAATAAATTAACTGGATTTTATTTTTATTAATTCACATTGGTTTAATTTTATTAAATCATGTGAAAGAAAAAGCAAGTGGATGTGCTATCCCTTATCAAATACCAGAATAAGAAAGGAGGCCTAGCCATCACAGATACATGAAGAATCTGTTTCTAGGTGATAATAATAACAACAAGAATAACAATAATATGCTGCCCAACTCCCAGATATTTCATCTTCAGTATTAGTGTTGTATTTTGAGGAAAAAAACCCTGCACAGATAGACAAACCTAGATTTAAAAAACTACTCATAGAATTTTTTTCTTTAGTTCTTAAGTAAAAGGATAAAAGTTGTGAACTTTGTAATTGTATATTTATATATAAGTATAAATAAATTAGGTTCAGCATGGTTCTACCAAAACATCACCTGCAAACCGTTCTCTTTTTATTGTTGCAGTCACCCCACTAGAAAGGAGAAATAAGCTTGCATTTGATATTTTATATTTATGCTTAAAGACAAAGTTATAAAAAAGATAAATAATTCCTTTAAAAATGTTGCCTTAGTTTGATTCCCAAACATACCAACATATGTTTTAGAGATAACTTCTTTAACCGAACAAGTTTGCAAAAATATATTAAATATTTTGTCTCTTAATAGGTGCTCCCTTTTAAGCTCTGAGAAAGTGTAAGAAGTGACTATCAATCCAACTTAACATTTATTATCATGTTAACAGTAATTTCCAGAAGAATTGGGTAGACGTTAGAAAGCTATCTGCTGACTACTTTTTCCTCTGCCATATGGAGGTGCAAATCCAGTCTTTCTTTTGTGCCAAACCGTTGGAAGAAAGTGAGGTAGAGAACAAATAAGTTTGTGTGTGTGTGTGTGTGTGGGGAGGGGGGGAGAGTTTTAAAGACAAAGTGGGTATTTTCTGTTAAGTCTACTTTATTGTAGTAGAATTAGAATGCATTTCAAATAATAAGATGCTAAAAAGTGCATCTTTTTGTTGAAGCGCTTTTGTTGAATATTTTGTCTGCATGAAGAAACAGAACTGTAAGAGGATAGGCATTGAGCCAGGAAATTAAAATGGGGAAAACATTCTTCTTATACAATCAATTATTCTAAAAGTAATACAGTGGAATCCAAACAAGTTGTTAAATAATGAGAGAGATTTCTTTCCCCTATTCTCCCCCCCACCCCCCATGCCTGTGGGGTTTTGCTAGAGGCACCGAGAAGCATCGCATCTGAACGGCTCAGGCTTACGTTCTGCTGATTTGGACTTGTCAATGATAATTGGGTAGCTTTAATTGCAAAAACACGTTTGTGGCGTTGAAAGGGAGTTTAGCGTAAATCCTTCCTTTCCAAGACTGATGTCAAAAAGTTTTTTCTGAAAGGAGATGAGGTTGTATCAGCTCTCCAGTCTGAATAACCGGGAGATGGTGCGATTCAGCTTATATGTTTTGGCTGTCCATCAGGACAAGGATCATTATTGTAGCTATTCAAAGGCTCTGGGATTCTTACACACACCAGGTTTTTTGTTCCACTGTTTGAATGTGTCTTGATTTGTGTTTTTCCTCATTACTGTTCAGGCAGCTTAAGGAGTACTTAAGTACTCTTTTTATTTTCTAGTGTATGTACTAGTTAATAATATAATGAAGCGTGAAACAATATTACGAGAAATGTCAAAAATGTTTTCCATAGAACATTATACTAAACCGGTATATATGCAAATTGCCTAGGAGTGAATTCTGGAAGATAGTACTGCATGAGAATGGGGCCAGGGGTGAAGTGTTATTCTGTAATATCTCACAGGGAGGCTTCTGTTTTCCAGAGTGCAGCATCATTGTAAGAAGATGTTAGGATGACTACAGCTTTCTTTCAGTCTAGGGACAGACTGAAGTTGTAAAACGATAGTGTTCATTTCACTCACTTTCCCCCTGCCCCCCGTATTCTGGTTTCTGACAGAATACTGTCTGCTTATCAACAAGGAGGCAAACATGTAGAAATATTGTATTGTGATGAACGCAATTCAGTTTTGTTTGTTAGTTTCTCCTCCCCAAGTTTGGAAAAGTGTGGACCAGACCTACAAACTAACTAGAAGGTATACAGTTCTCTAGTAACTGGCAAAGGACTGTCACTGAGATTGGTGGATCTTAGAGATCTGTTCTTTATTGACAGAGAATGCAGCCAGCACATTATATTGAAACAAGTAGGAATTACTTCCATATAATGGTTTGTCTACATTCAAAAGAACATATGACTTTAGGCCTCTTGATCCATCAGACATATTAAAGGAGGCATTACTTTACCTCAGTCAGTTGTCTGTAGTGAAAAAGCCTCCACAGTATATCTCTCACTTAGACGTCTCCACTGGAGACAGTCCATTCCAATGTAGACAATCCATTCCAATGTACAAAAATCAGGGGATTCCACATAGACTTTTCTCATTAGTCATGTGATGCCCCTTTCAAGAGACTTCTTTCTTTTTTTTGTTCTTTAAATGAAAATCAGGTATGCTTTGGGTATATCATTGCAACTTTTCAGTTTGCTATATGGGGAAGGACTGTTTTAGAAAAAGTAGCTTGAAGTTTCCTTGTTCACACGGGACTAACTATTCTCTATATAGTTCTCTGGCCATTTTAAATTAACGTGGTAGATTATAAAACTAAACTTTACTGTTTTGTTTCAAATAAATTGTATTAATGATGTTTGATATTTGGGAATTTCAGAGTTAAAACATTCACTTACTTTGCTGAAAGCCTACTGAAGATTGTCATTGTTTTTAGCTTAACTGTTCAAAAGAGTACAAATTTGGGGCTATATTCAAGAGGGAGGAAGGGAGGGCATTGCCATTCCTCAACACTGGGGGTGCATTTATTTTGTGGTGTTTAAAAAAGTCACAACGGCAGGTAGGAAGGAAGTTGAAGGTCGGAAGAGTTCCCCACTGGGGGGCGGGGGGACAATAAATCGAATGTATAATAATAATAAAAGTGCAAAGTCCTTTTGCACATATGCAGTTAGAATGGTAATCTTTAAATTGTGACATCGAATTGAACAATAGAGATGAAGTGAAAGCAGGAGTTTGATAAGGAGATCCCTGATTAAGAATACACCTTGTTTGACAGTAGCTTTCTTTTGTATCACATGTTCTCTTTTTTAAATGTAATATACATTTATTGTGTTAATAGTGAGGTATTAATAACATTTCCAAGTTTGAAGTGGGTAAATAATTTATGGCCATAAGCTAATTGTATTTATGTT